GGAAGAGCCCATCTGGTTCACTCATGTCCTTTAGGGAAGGAAACTGCCATCCTTACTTGGTCTGGCCTACATGTGAGACCCACAGCAATGTGGTTGACTCTTAACTGCCCTCTGGGCAATTAGGGATGGACAATAAATGCTGCCTAGTCAGTGACGCCCATATCCCATTAATAAATAAGGAAAGGAATAAAAACAACCCATCTCTGATCCCCTCCCGCTGTTTCCCCCTCCCCTTATGGCCTGCGCTACTCCCCCAGCCCTCAGGAAGGTGCTGGTCCTGGTACTTACAGAGCTGTGGGACCAGTACGAATAGTCAAAGGTGAAACTCTTTGGGGCATCCTTTGTGTGTTTGGGATTTGTGATACCTGTGTGAGAGAGAGGGAGGGAGAGAGGCAGGGATAAAAGGCAGAGGGAGAAAGGGGGAAGCAGGTGGGGAGAAGGGAAGAGAGATAGACAGACGGGGAGAAAGGGAGAGTGAGAATGATCACAATCACCTTCCTGCAATGAGTACAATCCGCACAACCTGAAACCCCCAAATTCCTGGCCCGAGGAATGTGGAGGGAAGGACAGGGAGAGTGGGGATGTAGGATTGATGGGCGAATGGTGGGAGATTGTAAAGTAAAGTCGTTTGGGTGGGGAGGTGAGGTGGTGCAGGCGGTGGTGGTGGGAGGCGGCTGTGATACTGCGTGCCACATAATGCTGCTGAGTTGATTAGAGGCTCTCAGTCTCCAAGCCCAAGACCACTTCCATTCAGAAGGACAAGGGGCAGCAGGTACATGGGAACACCACCCCCTGCAGGTTCCCCTCCGAGCCACTCCCCATCCTGACTCAGAATTTATTTTGTTATTCATCTGTTATTCAGTCGCTGGCAGGGCCTAGCATTTATTGCCCCGTCCCTAGTTGCCCCCCCCTTGAGAAGGTGGGGGTGAGCTGCCTTCTTGAACCACTGCAGTCCATGTGCTGTGGGTTGACCCACAGTGTCCCTTAGGGAGGGAATTCCAGGGATTCTGACCCAGTGACACTGAAGGAACAGGGATATATTTCTGAGTTGGGATGAGAGTCAACCACGTTGCTGTGGGTCTGGAGGCATGTGGAGGATGGGCAGATCTCCCTCCCCTATAAAAGGGCCCTAGTGAACCAGATGGGGTTTTACAACAAGAACTGAGTGTGGTTATATGACAGCCACCATTAGGGCTTGCTCCTAATCCCAGACTTTAAACGGAATTCAAATTTCCCCATTTAACAGGGTGGGATTTGAACTGAAGTCCCATTGCCGATTGTCAGGAAGAGCCCATCTGGTTCACTCATGTCCTTTAGGGAAGGAAACTGCGGTGGGGTGGGGGGTTGGGGTAAGTCAGACCACTATAGCATCACCGTGACCGAGACATGGGGTAATCGCTCCCGTACAGTGTTTGAGAGCTTTGGGGGCAGAGACAATTACCCCCCGATAAAGATCAGGGTGTCAGAGTCTCCCTCACCACATACCGAGACAGCACGGTGGCACAGTGGTTAGCACTGCTGCCTCACAACGCCAGTGACTCGGGTTCGATCTCACCTTTGGGCGACTGTCTGTGTAGAGTTTGCACATTCTCCCCGTGTCTGCGTGGGTTTCCTCCGGGTGCTCCGGTTCCCTCCCACAGTCCAAAGGTGTGTGGGTTAGGGTGGATTGGCCGTGCTAAATTGTCCCGTAGTGCCCAGGGATATGCAGGTTAGGGTGGGTTGGCCGTGCTAAATTGTCCCATAGTGCCCAGGGACGTGCAGGTTAGGGTGGATTGGCCATGCTAAATTGTCCCGTAGTGCCCAGGGATGTGCGGGTTAGGGTGGGTTGGCCGTGCTAAATTGTCCCGTAGTGCCCAGGGATGTGCAGGTTAGGGTGGATTGGCCGTGCTAACTTGTCCCATAGTGCCCAGGGATGTGCAGGTTAGGGTGGGTTGGCCGTGCTAAATTGTCCCATAGTGCCCAGGGATACATAGGCTAGGTGTGTTAGCCGTGGGAAATGCAGGGTTACAGGGTTACAGGGATAGCATGGAATCTGGGTAGGATGCTTTTCCGAGAGGTAGTGTGGACTCGGTGGGCTAAACAGCCTGTCCCTATTCTGTAGGGATTGTATAATGGTATGAATGTTGTGCTGTGTGCCAGTTCATGTGAGTGACAGAGATACCAAACAGTATCAGCAGTTTCTGATTCACTGGCCCTAAATTTAGCCAAGGGCAGGGTGGGGGGTGGGGGAAGGGGCACACAGTTTGTTCTCAGTCCTCCCCTGTCACAGGCCACTCTGCCCTAATTGTGGAGCCCAGCAGCTGACTGTCAGGGGTGAAACAAAACTCATTTCAGCACCCACCTAGATCTGACACAATCCATTTCCCCATCTGGTTCTCTCAGGGTGCCCAGCCTCCGCCCAGGAGGTTCATCAGCTAATACTAACAGCGTAGGAATAAAGAGATACAAAACCGCTGGATGTCTGAAACAGGGGCAAAGGGTGTTGGAGAAACCCAGCCATGGTCCTGACAGAATCCACCAAAACCAGTGACCCCACCCTCTTGGGAAAGTTCCAAAGAAGGGTCACTGGACTCAGCTCTGCATTCGCTCTTCCCACAGACGCTGCCAGACCTGCTGGCTTTCTCCAGCACTCTCTGTTCTTGGGAGCAGCTGTGTTCTAATGTTATTACACATCTCTGAACCTAGGGGCCTCCAGGCTCAGAGGTAGGGGCACTACGCAAGGCCATTCACAGTACAGGACCTCTTCCATATGCTAGATATTTTCCACTCAACCCGTTCAGGGATGTTATTACACACTCCTGGAGCAGGTGGGTCTTGAACCCAGGCATCCCAGCTCAGAGCTAGGGACACTACCGCTGCAACACAAGGGCACCCCCTCTATCTTACATGATAATCGGTAAACTACTGTTTAATCTCTGGTGCAGAAGGTGGACTGTTAGGATTTACAATTTGGAGAAATGGGCTCCACGTTGCTATCAAAATACTTTAGATTTTAATACTTCACGTCTTTTCTCTCTCTCTCTCTCTCGTTCCTGGTCTCCATTTTTCATTCCCATCTACCTATCCCTCCCAAAGCCTCTCTCTCTCTCTCTCTCTCTCCACACCACACCCCACCACCACCACTCCCCCCCCCACACCCCCATTTGGACCAAATCAGGTTGTATACACTCTCCATTTACCTTGGTCAACAGGTCACTTGTTCAGTTGGTGTTTTCCCAGGGTAACCCTTGCCTCCACCCAGCCTTCTGGAAATATCCAGGGGCAATCACCTCCCGAGGAACCTACCCCAGAGTATTTGGGCACTCACGGAGTTAACCATGGTGTCTCTGCTCCAGTAACCTGCCTCAGGAACGTCAGCAACGTTCCCACTGAACTGGGCTCTCAGCATTCAGCAGGCAGGCTCTGGGATCGGACTGTGTGTGTTCACACCCAGGAAACCAGCAGGAATTGAGGCTGGCGGATGGGAGAATATGGCAGTGACTGTGTGGGCTGGGGAGGTGGGGTGGTTTGGGGAAGGGGGAGTTCTTGCAGGGGAGGGAGAGTTGAGGGGGAGGGAATGTGGGGGAAGGGAGAGGGTGAGGGATGACGAGAGTGGAGATGACAAATAGGGGGAAGAGGGAGAGAAGCAGCACAGTGGAGGGGGCGGATGGAGGAGGAGCACAGTGTGTGGGGGGGAGGAGGAGGAGCACAGTTGGGGGGGGTGGGGGTAAAAGGAAGAGGAGCACAGTGGGGGGGATGGGGAAAGGGGAGGAAAGGGCAGGGCTGTGGGGTTTTGTGTTTGGGGGGAGGGGGGTGGTGGTGAATTACGGGACATGGGTCTGTTCACCTCCCTCACCAATGAGGCGATATTCCGGAATCAGGAATGAAGGAAAACTGTCTGGGATCCAAGCCCCTCCCACTCTGGAGAGGCTGGTTCCTGCTGCCTGGAAAGCGGCCAAATCCCTGACTGCAAATATCTCCCGACCCATCCACTTCAAACTCAACACCACCATGAAAGGAAACAAAACCTCACAGCTCCTCACTGAACCGGTTAAAGGGGCCACGCACCCAGGTAACGGGGGCAGAGGCTGTTGAAGGGGCCATACCACTGGGGTAATAGGGTCTCTCACGCCCCCACCAAGTACATTGACTGTGCCCCTCCCCTTCCTCAAACACCTCCTCCTCCTGCTCAGTACTCTCCCAGCTTCCCCGATACTCACTGGTCGATTTGCCGGACATATGAATGACACAGCTAGCATTGCGCTTGAGTTCCCGTTCATTGAAGGGTCGAACCCTGACCGCGACCTTCACTGAGGCACCAGACATCCTGCCCTCAGGACCTCGCTCCAACTTCCAATCAAAAACCTGGGAATGGAAAATTAATACAGTCATGTCTCCCAGAATCTCAGCAACACATTCCCAGAGAAGCCAGAACCAATACAGATTACATCAAACCACAAGGTGGACAAGAGAGCTCCTCAATCCCATCCCACTGAAATACCGGTACTGTACCCCAGCATTACACAGCGACAG